GTGCTACCCATTAGGACAGAAAGTGGTAGATGACAAAGAATATTTATGTGCTTAGAAGAGCAGTGGGCTTCACTTTTACTCACTTCATGTGCTTGCACAGACATAAAATGCTGCAGACATGCATAAACGTACCTCCACATAAATCAAGGGTTAAAGGATATTAAAAAAAAAAAAAAAAAAAAAAACCAAAAAAAAAAAAAAAAAAAAAAAAAAAAAAAAAAAAAAACTTTAGATGAGATCAAATATTTTGTTGGAAAAGACATCCTATTACTCTAAAAACATTAACCTAATGTGCAGTTAAGTGAAAGTCTGAGCTACTGAAAAAAACCATGTTTGCATTCTGCACTGTGTGCCACAGTGGGGTTGCACTTTCTGACAATTAATAAGGGAAAATCAGCTCTGTATTTCATGGAGCTTAAGTGTAAACTTGAATATAAAGAGTACTCACAGAACAGTTTTCTGGTTTACTGGATAACCTGAGCCAATTTACAAGGGCTACAGATGTATCCTGTTATTACTCAAACGGCATCATTTCAGTGCTTAATTTTAGCACAGTAGAACAAATTAAATGAAATTGACAGGTTTTAGAAACCAGAAGGAAATAAAGATCACAGAGGAGAAGATGGTGAAAAGAACAACAACGGTCAATTGGAAAATCTCTCTGTACATGAAAAACTAGAAAAAACATTAAAAGGAGAGGTACTAGAGAAATTAATTTTACCACCTATTTTCTCACCTATTTTTACATAATTTAAAAATCCACAATTATTAGAATACTAGATTGCACTCTTACTGATCACAAAATGATCCAGATGGTGCCCAGCAAACTCAGAATTTGGCCCAAACTTGATTCAGTCTAAATGTTTGTAGATTTAAATCCAACCAATATGCAAATCATTATAGCAAGGTAATTCTAACAGAGTTTTCTGGGAACAACAGAGCTGATTTAACAAAGCCAGAGTGGACATTTGAAATTACAATCTACCACAGATTCCCTCCCCTGCCCCTTGCGGAATTTGGTGTGACTTTTCTGATTCCAGTTTTCAAATTCAAACTTGATTCCAAAGGGCCCTGCTGTACAGGGGGGCTCCTTGCAACTTAGGGCCTGACATAGCCAATCACAAGTAGCAGCATTCCAGACTGGGTAACAGGTGGCATCATTTGTTTCCTCAAAATCAGAACTCTTCCAGTGTGCAATGGCTTTTAACACCCAGCCTTTCAGATCCACACATCACTTGAGACTCTGCCAAACTATCACCAGGAGATATGGAAACAGCCTTCAATACCAGTGCTAATGGAGCTTAAGCAAATGTGAAAAGCTCCTGACTGCTTCAGAAAACCTGCTAAGATATCAAATGCAAGCACGTAGAGCATACTAAAAAGTGACAATAGGCACACAAGCAAAGTTATCCTTATAAAAAAAAATCTCAGTGTACTCCTATTGTCTCCATTTGTGTGAAGCTGGTGATGGACACTCAACAAAATCGGAGTCTGACAGCAATTACAAACTCTTTTAACAAGACTTGAGATTCTTAGGTAATTTCTAATGCAGTAGAAGGGCTCAGGGAACATGGAACACAAATCCAATGGAAAGCAGGCTTCACAAAACAGCTTTTAATTAGGATGTTCTAATTAGATGCTGAAGAGACACACAATCACCCACAATTAATTCTACTCTTGATATGGCTTAGGGAACATCACAGCTAAGTCAGAAAAGACACAGGCAGTTTAACACTTTAACTTTCAAATCCGAATCTTTCAAGAGGCAATGGGAAAACATTCCTTACTTTTTACTTGTTCTCTAAACTGTCTCCCACTGTGTGGCCTACTGAAAACCAAAAAACTCATTTTGCATAATACCTGCAATTTATCTTTAAACAATCCAGTCCTTATGACCATAATTAGATTCTTTCCATCTGCTGAAAAACTAGGCAATTAGTAGTTCTAATAAACTAGCCATTAACTTGTACTGAGAAATGACTGATTTTAATAGCAGTATATTTAACAGTTTAAAGGAATCATCACATTTGTCAATTAGCACCATCAATTTTTAATTAAATGATCTTTCCACAAGTGGAGGGAAAAAAAAAAAAAACCAACCCAGATGTTTCATTAAGTTTATATGGAGTAGAGAATTCTTCTGACTAAAATTCAATTTTTAAGGGCTGTATTGGCTAAACCAACATTTTGAGGTGTAAATGTTGATACACAAGCTAAAGAGAGAAAGGAGAGAAGTTGCACGGATCTTCAGACAGAGGTCTTCTCTAAGGAGTTTTTTGTGCTCTTGCTAATCAGGAAAAAATAGATTTCATTAGAAAAAAAAAAGTCCTAGACATTGTTGAAAACTACCGAGGACTTTCAGAATACATCTATGAATCATAGAGGGAGAAGGTGTTAATAACCAAAGAGGTTATTTACTCAGCATATCCCATTACAGTGAGCACAAAGCAGTCAGTCAGTGCAGGTGATACAGAATCTGTGCAATAGCCCTCTTTTTAACAGATAAATTGCACATCTTATAAGCAAGGCTATCAGGATTTGAAGCACTTCAGGCATTGTAGACTCAAGAGGATGAAAGCAAAGACTTGGCACTCTGAAGCTAACACATGCAGAATGTGATTAGTCTTTCCTGTATCATTTACTAAACCTGCTAATTAATCTGGAGGGCCTCACACAAGCATCAAATACACAGAGTAACTGATATGGAAAGCAGTCCATTTACTTCTCTATTATACCTAAACAGGTGCAAAAATAAAAAGAAAAAAAAAATTCACTTCTCATTAGTTCAGACATTCTTTTCCAATCCTAAATGTTAAATCTCAATAAGTCTTGACACTTCAAAGGTGCAGCATGTGAAAATGGACTCAAGAAGGATATTCCAGTATATAAAAAAAATTCCTCTTGCCTGTAACGACTCACTTTGTGACTTGAAAAATTCTGCTGTGAGCACAAAAGGACATGTCAAGCCAAAGGCACTGGCAAGATAAAGACGTCTCCTTTTAGGCAGCAGTCTGCACTTAAAATCCAAAACCATTTTTCATGCCAAAGACTTCTCTAATGACCTTCTCATCAATAATATCCGAACAGATAAAATATAGACCCCACTTCCTACTCAAAGAACAATATTAACAATAATCTGACAGAGCTTGATGTATGAGATCCCTCCAAGGAAAACTTGACTGTTGGTTTGTACTCAGATTTTATCAGCAATTTAAAAATACAAATAAGATAGTCAGACCTGTTTAAGAATGTAAGGAAATACGATTGATGTTAGTTTGAAGAGTGATTTGTGATATACAGCCTCGTAGCACTTAACCTATTGTCTTCAGCACAAAAGAGGTGATTGAAGGGATCCATCCAAGAATATAAAGGAGCACAGAAAAGCATGGTTGCATCAACTACAAGAATTCAGAGGTGATCAAGTGCTCTGCAGCCTTATACATCTTATATTTAATTTCTAGCCTATGACTGTATGATCCTACACTCCACTGAACAACACTTATCATGTGAACTTCACGGAAAGGGTGATCAGACAGGAACCAGAACTGTCTGCCCAGTTCAAGAAACTGGAACAGGCTGTCCAGGAAAGTGGTGAAACCACCACAGTCCCTGGAACTGTTCAAAAAATGTGTGATTGTGGCACCTGAGGACATGGGACAGTGGTGAACACGGCAGTGTTAGATTAACAGCTGGACTCAATCTCAGAGGTCTTTTCCAACCTTAACAATTTTGATTTATGCTGTACTCTCATTTCACTCTATAGAGAGCATGAAGAGAATGAAACTGTTACCAGCAAGACACAGAGATTTCCCATTCCCTCTCCATGTATGGTTTGCACTTAGCCCAACAGCAAAGTCTGAGTTTCCCAATTCCCTGAATTCTGGCAGCTTTCTTCTTCCACTTCTCACTACCTTTGCTCAGCAAGAGAGTTTTGAGAACATCAGCAAGGAGCTCTGCTTTGCCCCCAGCTATTAGCACACAGTTCTAGTATAGCTTGTAAGTAATGAGAAAACACTGCAGGGAATCACAAAACAATTCCTTCAGTTGGGTTTCCAGCTACAAGAATAGCTGCAGTCTTTCCAGCCAACAATCCATCCAGCACAGTGACCTTTCTACATAGGTAGATGCCTAAAAAAAAGTAAGAAAGAGAGCACATGCTTATCCTATCACACTCCCAAACTCAAATTATTTTATGCTGAGAGGATTTCTTTAATCTGATTTTATATACTTTAAACCCATCACTTCATCTTTCTGCCATGTACCTTTTCCAGTCAGCCTCCCACTGAGTCCAGAGAACCTTCTCAAGCACACAGTGGCAGCAGAGTGTAAAGGGAAATATCACCTTCCTCTGCTCCCAGCATGGCTGAAGACAGCCCCAGCCTGAACAGCAGGTGCCCACAATCAAAGGCATTCCCCATCACATAACCTGCCCTGCTAGGCAGAAAGAACACTTCCCACTGACAAAGTCAAACCCTGGCAATTCTACATGCCAGGGGTGGATTCCTGCTCCCGGCAGATTCTGCAGAGAATTCACTCTCAAGCTGCACTCTTCTGAAGCTTCTATAAAGCTGTTTCATAGAAATTACAAAAAGACTCCTGACAATATGGACTTCTCACCAAGTCTCAACATTTCATTCTAGAAGTCACAAGAATTTAAGGAGGTACAAGACCACAGTTCTGTCTTCTGACATCATGAACTACCCTTCCTCTGAAACCACTAAATATTTTGCTGAAATTAAAAAGGTTTAAAGCAGATACTTGGCATAAGAGGTTACATATAGCCCACCCTGTTAACATTTAGGAAACTAATATGCAATTTTAAAACAAGAACCAGTTCTTTAAAGTGCCAGACATGATTAAATATAAATGCCAGGCTTGTATAAGGTATAAAGCACTGAGAAAGTACCAGTTTCCAAACAGTTTCATTTGCTGAAGGAAGCAAACTCAGCAGTAAGAAGGGAACCAATTACATTGCCTAGAATTAGAGATGAATAATTTTATGACAGCTACTAGTGGCACCAAGATATAAATTTCATTGCCTGCAGAGACCGAGTTCAAGAGAAATAACTCATGAAATGAAAGGCAAGATTAAATTGGCAACAAATGTGCTCTACAGAGGGAATTTCTGTATTATAAAAAGGTAACATCTGAAAACTTTTTTTTTCCCCCTCAAGAATCTGTTCCATAGACCAAGAAAGCTACTGGACTAGTCTGGGCTGGTTTTAAAACAACAGTGAAGACATAGTAATTTAATTTTACTTCAGTAATGTTTACTTCAGCTATTTTAACACTATTTAGTCAGTTCTGGTCTACCGCATTTAAAAATACATTTGTATTTGCAAATACACTACATAACTGGCAGGCAGTATTTACACACATACTTCATGAGAGTCTACAGAATAATTTCTGAAAATGAAACAGGAAAATATTTTGGTATGTTCATAGCCAGTGCAGATACAAACAGTGCCTCCTGATCCATCATTGGAAAGCCTCCCACAGACCCCCTGCAGCCAAGGCTTTTACCTGTTTAGAAACAGAATAATGAAAACAAGCTTGGACAGAACGGAATTCTCCTGACAATACTAATTGCAGCAGACAGACAAGGAGATGGAAAAAGGCCTAACTGCAATACAGTTTATGATAAGTGTTGTATTGATCTCACTGAAGCTGTTTATATGTTCATACACAGCTGTTTATACAACCTGTGCAAATAAATCAGGCTTAACACACTTCCCTGTACTTTTGCTGAAGCACTGCTCAGAGACACTGCAGCAAACTAAAGCACTCAACAAAAGAAAAAAGAAGGGAATTACCAACTAAATAAATGCAGGTTAACTATCAAATTTCAGCACCATTATTCTAAATGTACCATAATTAAATGCAATGAATTCCACTTTAGAGATTGCCCTGGTACCAGGGAAGAATACTTTTAAATTTTACATGCAGCAAATTATGCACTGTGCCATTCACATTTCGAAAGGATTTTTACATGGTCAGAATTTAAAACACAACAAAACATTTTGTGCTGTGCCTTTCAGAGGCACAAAACAGCCTTGAAAAAGGAACTGCAAGCAGCAGTACTTAACATCACATTCAGCAGTAACTTACCATCAATGGTGCTGGGCAGTACAAATATTAACTCGCTCATGTATCTAATAACTAGAACAGATAAGGCAGTAGCTGTATCAGCCATAGCAGTCAAAATGTATATAGTCCTGAATTAAATTTGAGCTTCCTAGCTCTAATATCTGACCTGGCATACTAGGAAAAAAATATTTAAAAGCATACAAAGACATGAGCAAAATTTTACTCCTGTTAAGAGCTTTTGCATCCAAAAAAAGCCCCAATGTGCAGGATCACTACAAGAAATATTTCTATGTTACCTGAAAGCCTAAGTTGCTACAGCTTTGTATTTAAGGTACAAATCACTTCTACCAGTAGCACACGTTACCATCCAAGTTTTCTTTACATATTTTTTTTCATTTTTGCATTGAAGACAAAGAATTTTCTGTCCCTCTTAAGCCACAGTTTTCATGTTGTTTCACTGCAGGTTGTTCGAACCACCTCTCACAAATCAGCCTGTATTAAAAGAAATAAATTCCTTCAGAATTCAAAACAGTCTTTTTGGAAAGTCTGCCAGAGACTACCCAAGACATTTGCAAAAAATTTAATCCAGAATAACACTTAAGTAATTTGAACACCACAAAACTACTTTTACACTACAGATTGAGTGACACCTCATGGAATTTGTCTTCTGTTGGTTTTATTTCAAAAATTATTTTTGAAAATAGCCTCGCAGGAAAGCAAACATTAGAACTGTAACTGCACAGCATGACAGCTGTTTTTTACGACAAAGATGTCTCAAATAAACCAAAATAAGCCACCATCAGCTTGACTGAAATATCCTTTTTCTAAAATCAAGGATACAGCAAGAAGGAATGGATCTGGTTAAGGATAACAGGCTGGCAGCACCAAGGCACAGTTTAGACAACCTTCTTCTCCCACCTAGTGGCAAGAAGCAAAAAGAACAAGGTCTCTGAGAGTGCAAAAATAATTTCAATTTCCTGGAGCACCTAGACAAAGGTTTTACTTTAAATTACTTATTTGGGAAAAATAACCTATTTCCCTCTAAGTTCATCATTTACATCCAAAGTCAAATCCAAATCAGTCAGTTTGAAGTAGGAATAAACAAGAGATAAATAAAAAATTTTATTTACTGTCTTTACATACAATGTATCATTCCTCAGATGAAAACAACCTTTGTGAGAAAAGCAGTACACCCATTTTGAATCTTTGCACACAGTTTTTTGACAAACTTTTAAAAATAAAGTCTAAAAGTTTTGCACAATGGCCTTTTGGTTTTGACTAAAATTTTTAAAGCAGCTTTGAGATGTCACTATCTAGATGATACTTTAATCAACATTTATTGAATTATTCAATATTTCAGACTGATGTCATTCTTTAGAAAACTGTACATGGATAGAAGGTAGAAAAGAAGCCAAACAACTGGAGGTACAACACTTACAATTTTCAACAGGTGGCACTTTGCAGCAAGGAGCCTATATTGTCTAATTGCAAAAGCAATTGGATGGCTGAGTGCACTGACATGCCAAAATCTGCCAGAGGAAAAAAAAAAATAGTATCTTCAAAATTGAAAGCACAGTTCTATAAAACTGGAAGTACAAAGAGGGAATCTAAACTAAACAAAAACTGTGAACTAACATGCTATCTCAGATATTAACCAGACTGAGATGCTCTTCACAAAGGAATATTCCCACCCTCTTTGCTTCCCAGGCAGAACTTACAGCTAGAGTGAAGCTGGAAGACAGCAACAAAAATAGGACCATCAGAATGTGTTTATTACTGCATACTGGCAAGGATCTAGTTAGTGAGCAAGCTTCACATTTTTTAAGATAATTTATATAAGATTAAATCAGCAGCCACTATCAAGCAGCAACTGCTATGCTAGACAAAAAAAAAGGAACATATGATTTGTACGTCTTATGAGGGTTTACAGATTAGATGTTGCCACCTTAGAATATTCACTATTGTTAAAATGACTCATGCCCATACACAGAAAATATACACCTGGAGTATCTCCAGCCCCCAGTGGCATGCAAAAAAAAAAAAAAAAAAATCCTCAGACATCTGAGATGCATCTAATTCTTAAATGTCACTTGATGTGACAAGTCTTAGGAAAAAAACCCACTTTTGCACACACAACTATACCAAAAGATTTTACTAAGCATGATTTGTCCCAGAAACTTCACCTGAAATACAGAAAACCTTTTGTAAATCTATCCTCTGCACCTAAACACCATTAGGAACTCCACAGAGAGGTCTGTGAGACAGAATAAGTTCCCCCTTTGGCATTAAGCAAGGGAAAACTTCAGGCACAGGAACATACAGGAAAGGACAGCGTTATGCTTCTTGCAGGGCAAGTACTGAGCCTCCAAAATCCATGATAGCTACATTCTTCCTCCCGATTGTAAGCAAAAAATCTAGGCACAAAAGGATCTCCTTCAGCAGTCAACAAACAAATGAGCAGTAGTGAAAATACAGCAGAAATGCAGCAACTATAGGAAAACAAAAGATTCAATCCAGGTATTGGCCTTGTCACACTTCAGAGCTCTCACAAAAGCACAGCTGCAATTTCAGCACATTCTTCCTTCACTGGTAGCAGAAGATTAATCTCTTGCACAGATGAAAAACTCCAAGCCATTCATACATTTAGAATCAACAGATCCACATGCTTTGCAGTTGATTTTCAGACTGATCCATGATTTTGGTGCCAAGGAAAGCCTTGCTAATCTGGTATCTACAACCTCTGCTCAGAATGAGGAAGTTGTTTCCACACAGCTCCAGCCAACTTCAACATTATAAAAATTTATGCCTCAATCCATTCACTTGGTGAGAGATTTCCATAGATCTGATTCAGGCTGCTTCCAGTCTTCTCCTGTTAGTTCTTTCAGGTTCAAGTCTTTGAAAAATTCCAAACGATGACTGCAAACAAAAGAGAAATAAACTAAGTCCTAACTTTTGCAGTAATGTGTAAGAGCAAAGACAAACAGAGAAATGAAATCAGCAAGGAACAGTCTCTTCACATAATTTCATCTGCTACCAACATCTGAACAAGACAAGGGATTTTTTTTGGAAGGTGTACTAGAGAAAAAATTCTAAACACCTTCTTGAAAGGTATTACAGCCATTCTCCAGTGCAATACAACAAATAAAAATAAAATAAAAATTTCCATTTGTCACAGAATACTGATGTGTTTTATTAGCAATAGCTCTGATTTTTTTTTTTAATATACAGTTGCAAAAGCTAAATTTTTCTTAAATAAAGGGTAATTTACCTAAAATTTACCCTACCTCACCATCACTGTATGTTGTGTGACAAGTGTTTTAAAAGCTATAGTATGGCTTCTAGAGCTGGGTCATTTATAGAAAATGCCCAAGAGTAACAGGTTTTACCAGATCATCTCAGCCTCACAGGCAAAGAAAATAAATGGGCCCAAAGCACAGTTTAAAAATCCAAATTTGCTGGTTTTAGTATTGATATGGGGTATCCTTTAATTTTTTTAATTTAGTCTGCCTTTCAATTTTTTCCATAGCATGGAACCATCTCTAGAGGTGAAAGCTTTTAGAACAGTATGGGAGGAGCAGAAGAGATTTACTGGAAATATACCTGGTGAAATTATCACTAAAATGGCACTTCAGGAGGAGCTGAAGTCAAGAAGGAAAAGGAGAACAACCTACCCATGATTTAGATGAGGAAGGTGATAAAAGCAGATACCAATGGTACTGAATGTGTAATTTTCTATGTACCTAGCATGCAAACCAAGCACTAATTACAGTGCCACAGTGCTTCACACAAGTACAGCACCAGTGGACCCAGAGCTAAGTCCTATAACAAAAATACTAGGGGCACTCAATCCAAAAACCAGATCAGCTTTTTAAAGTATTCCAACAACAGAGCAACCGTTTTATAGAAGAGCTCATTTTATGCTTACAAATCTGGTTCCTGCCCTTCCTGCAGCTGGTGTGGAGGCACAGGATAAAGTGCTTCATAATTTCTCTCTTCTCCTGAGCCATGAATTGCAAAGCCATTGAACTTGTCAGTGCATGGTGGAAAATAGCTCCAAGGAAGAAGAGCTTTACCCTCCCATTTGGTTTTCATTCTGGTCACCTCAAACTCCAAAGGAAGCTCTTCCTGTTAAAGGAGGGGAAAAAAGATTTAAATAAGAGGTACTGGCCATCTTTTGATCAGAAAGTAGGTACATAAAAATCATTATGAATGTACTTGAGCACTTACTTTCCATGCTTTTCTTCTGCCAGAAAGCAGCAGCAGTAAGTACTGCCCATGGCTGTCAAAGAATCAGAGCACAGTTTTCCTAAAATTATGTCAAGTTATTAGTGCATTATACCACCACAAATATGTACATTCCCCATACTGACCCAGTTTCTGTGTCTAGTCCCCCTCATACATGTGTCTCACATGCAGCATTGCAACTGCAAGAGGAAATTAACTTCTGGGTCTTTTTCAGTGCTGTACTTACGGACAAAGCTCAACTTCCAAATACTGCTCAGTTCTGCCACTCAGAAAGAATGCTTCTACAACTGAAAAAAACCCAAACCAAACAAAAAAAAAATTAAAAGAAAAAAAACAAGCTGTCAGTATTTTATATTAACTATTCTGTAATACCCTGAGATCTTTATATCCCATTAATACAACTCAATTTTCATGTGTTTTGACCTGTGTCATGCCAGAGCCTGACTTGCTACTGACACGTACACAGTAACTACAACCCAAATATTTAAAATGCTGTGCCACAATTCCAACTTTAGGAGCTCTTATTTTAATTGCTGTGATCACAAAAAGCTTTATAAAGTACTGACTTTATTACCTTTACAATTTCAGTTTTGAAAACACTCACCCTGATGCAGCAGGAAAATAAGGGAAAGAGGATCACACATTCAAAGCAGGGCACACACCCTGTAACTAAAACTGTTAAATCTCAGAAATCATAAGAAAGCATTTAATTCTTAAATGATTTTTCCCTGCAGAGGGATATTTTGGATGGGGATTACTGTTCCAGGTGTACTTGAAAGCTGCATGTGACATTTGAATCACATTTCAGGAACAGAAAGTAGAACTACAATGGTGTTTCTCATGTAAAATTACAACAGTGCTTCTCACAGCAATGACATTATTAGAAAACTTCAGTTAGAATTAAGATGTGACTGATACCTTTAGTTATTTCTACTTAAACATATTCATTATAATAACACCAAAGAGGTGCTAATACAATTTTAGTAGAACTTGAATCACAATAGCTCAATAATCAGGAAGTAAGGAACTGCTAGAAACATTCAATTCTTGTATTACTCAAAGCAATGGGTAAACGTGACAGTATGCACAGGAAAGGAGAAAATATCCAGCACTACTACGAGAGTTTTCCCCACTTCATGTGGCCACAGTTTTGAATTGCACTTCATGAGTGTAATTTCTGTGTTTCACACCTTCCTATTCCTCAAAGGAACTTTGGAAAAATGACTCAAACACACAATTTCTTAAAGCAAAAGTGGAATTGGTCTTTAGGATTTCACTTCTCCTTCCACAAGGGCATTTAAATATATATGAGCCACAAAATTATTTTGATACTCAAATATGTCAAGCTTCTGATAGTTCACAAGTTGCACCAGTAACCCAAAACCTAAGTTTGAATGCCTAGGATCAGGAAGTCAACTTCAAAATTACTGAAATCAACCCAGATCACTGAACTTCAGGTTTGGGATTCTTTTGAAAAAAAAAACAACTATCACAGATTTAAAGTTTCTTAAAAAAAAAAAAAAGACCAGGCATATCAAACACAGAGGAACATCAGTGTCTACAGAAATCAGATATATTTGCAGAAGAGTTACACTTACCCTCATAGTCCCACAGCCCACCAAAAGGTTTCCCTGGCTCTCCAGGAGGTGCTGGAGGGTCATTAAAGAAAGGAGCTCGAACTTCCATCAGCAGTCCTGCATTATCCGGCCTCAGCCCAATTGTAACCGGCTCGTGGCTCACGGGCAAACCATCCCAGGTGTGTTTAATTCGAAATTCCATCTTCAGTACTACACAACTGAAAAAGGAAAGTTCTGTCAAAGAAGATCTCAGATTCCAGCTCCTCGTGAATTGCCGTTTGGTTGCGCAGGGGAAGAAAAATAAACATACACTTTGGTACAAAGTCAATTACCAAATCATGTTTCTAGGCATCAGAACTAAAACAAACTAGCTTTGTAACAAAAACCTAACTAAACAGTTACATAAATGCTGTTTCTCATAGCTTTTATACCCGCAGGGTTACGAATGTCTCTGAAGTCTGAATTAGCTTAAGGCTTTTCACACGTACATCTAAAAAAAAACCTTCCAAAACCACCAGAAACATTTATCAAGAGGACAGATGAACAAAACAGTCTCCACTACATAAATTTAGAGGATTTGGTAACATCAGAAAAACAGACTGAGGAGAAACCTTTTAAAGTTTGAAACACAAGAAAATGAAGCAACTAGCTAGTGCTTCATTTGCAGTCACTGCAAATCAGCCTTTCCTTAAACACCTCCAGGGACGGTGGGCAGCTCGTTCCAAAGTCGAATCACCCTTTTTATAAAGAAATTACTCCTAAAGTCCAACCTGTCCCTCCCCAGATGCAGTTCCGGGCTGTGTCCTCTTCTGCCGTCGCCTCCTCGCTCCGCTGCTCCGGCCACAACCCGATTGTTTTCCCGAGGGGAAGTTTAAGCGCCTATCCCTAACCCACAACCCCCCAGCAAAGTTTAACAAGGCATTTCCCCCACCGCCGCCTCAGCGCCGCACCATGGCCGCTCCCCACGTGACGGGGGCGGCGCTGGCGGCCGGGCCGGGCCCGGCGCTGCGGGCGGGCCGGAGGGAGCGGCGGGGCCCGTCCCGGCCCTCGGCGGTTGTGCGGCTCCTCCGCGGGGCCCTGGAGCGGCCGTGGCTCCGCTGGCACCGGGGCTGCCTCCTTGCCTAAGCGGCGGGGCTGGCAGCGGGCTCTGGGGAGGAGCGGAGGGACGGCTCTCCCCGCTGCCCCCGCCCCGGGGCACCGGCGGGTGAGGGGAACGCGTCCCGCCCCACGGGCTCCTGCCGCCTTCCCTGCTCCGGTAGAGCCCTGGCTGTCCTCTTCTCTCCTCCCCTCCGGCCGGACAAGCGGCTTTTTCCCCCGGGGCTTCGTGGAGTTTGCGTGGGGAAGGCTGGGAACGAGGCACGGCCAGGTGAGTGTTGGCGGTGAGGGTGTAAATTCGATAGCGGTGAAGGTTTGTGTTCCCTGGGTTTCCCGGTGAGGAGCAGCGTGGGTAGTGCTTTTAGTTAGCTAAACACCAGGAATTAAAAGCTGCTAATGAGGGTGATGGCCAAAAACACATGCGTTTTTGTATGAACTGCTTTTTAGTTATGAAACCACGGCGTTTCCTACGCTTTAGAAAGCTTTCTCCAGTTATTCGTGAAATTTGCTTTATGGACCAAAATCGGTGTTTTTACTTATGTGTCACTTAATGGATTTAATATAGCTTAACATTACTTAATCAGAGTGCATCTGAGCTGCTCACCAACAAAATAACTGGCCAAACAAATTTGCTTCTGCTGAGTTTATATTCCTGGGAGTTGGAGATGGGGCAGGCGCTTTGTCTAGGGAATGTCTCTGTTCCCAATTAGCGCTGCAGGAAAACTTGGCAGCAGGAGCAGGTCACGGTGCATGCAGCATTTGCAGCTCCATCGCTCAGGCCTCGGAATTTCACTGGGTACCAAGTTCCGTGTGGTGGCAAAAATGAAAAAAAAAAAACAACTTTTGATTCCAAGGATTTCAGTAGCAGAAAAGCTTCTGTCTGAGATAATACAGTCATCCTGGTTCAAAAATCTGTATCTTTCTTGCACTTTGCAAGAGTATTTATTATTCTGTGACTTGAAATTACTATGTTTTTTCAAATATTGGAATGTTGCCTTTTCATATGTATTTATTTTAGCTGTAGTTTATTTTGTAAGTCTTTAGAATCTAAGTATAACTCAGACTAAATTCACTGTGAAATGGTGATTTCCCTTTCCTATCAAAGAGTTTAATCCTTTTTTTAAAAAAATATTTATACATTTTCACAGGACAAGGTTTGAAATTGACTTCTATGCTAGCTGAGCCCTAAGTTGTTTTAGGCCTACTCTGGGCCCGATACATGAATTAATGTTTCTCTTCCTTCATTAATGTGAAATCAAAGTTCTAAAACAATGAAGTGTGTGTAATACATCTGACAAGAGATTCTCTAAGCAGTATTATATTTAATGTTGTAAAGTATTTGTCATGTTAAATATATAACTGTAAAGAAGGTTGAGTTTTACCTGAATTCTTTTTGAAATATTACTACCCAGACCTACAAAAAATAATCCTCCATTCCATACTTTTGTGGTACATGCTGAACTTTTTTCAGATCATATTTAATGCTTTCCTGTTGACAGGGAGCTTCTATAAGTGATGTTTAAAATCTGTCCCTTTTTGCGCCTGTGGCATCTCATGTTTACATCCTGTGGCTTGTAAGGGCAGCAACTTTCCCATTCCTGTTTCCTGACATTCCTTTGCTGTTACCTCTTTTCTTTCCCCACTGTCTTTTTCCTATATTCTCCTTTAGAAGTTTAGAACTAGTAAAAGCACCATGGGATGTGTATCAGGAAAAATAGGCAAGAAGTTGTTTAAATCAAAATACAGACATTGCATCCCAACTTCTTTTTTCTTCTTTGTTACCCATTCCAGTTACAAAAGTGTTACTCAGAGTCTTACAAAACAGAGCAAAAATAATTCTTAAAGAAAAGAGAATGTGACAGGAATGGAATTCTTTATTATTATTACAGTTCCTGTAGGTTTTTTCAAGTCCTGGGGTTTTTTTTAAACAGTTTTGCTAAATAGAAGAATTTTAGAAGCCTTTTTTTTTTTTTTTGCCCTTGAAGCATTATATTGTTAAACATATTTCTGACTGCCAGTCCCATTTATGTAGATAGCGGCCTGTGTTATAGCCATGATTCTCAAACGTGTTTTTTTTTCAGATCAGAGGCTAAAAATGGCACTTGGACATTCTGAAACCAGGGAGGTTCTGAGAATTACTGCTGAGCAGGTATGTGAACTCAGGCATGGGAGTAGTAAATTTTTTTTTAATTATGTTTTGTGATAAATAAGTTTCCAAATATGGAGCACAGCTCACTTCAGTGTTGTCTGGCCCTGTTTTGAGTCCATCATACAATGCAGCAACAGCAGAAAAAAACTGGCCTAACACTGAATTATGGTATTTTTAGTGAATTTCTGAAAGTTTTATCCCTGAAAGAGCACTTGATTTGTAATTCAGTACACTTTTTCACTTTTCTAAGGGATTGGTCTCATGTTGAGGTAGCTTTTTGTACTGGGTGCCATAAGCCTGTCTGAGAGCTTGTGCAGAAGCTAGGGCTCAGATGCTGAGATGCATGGAAATGAACCAAGCACTTACACAAACCTGTGATTATTCTTTTAAGATTGAATTGATTTTCCCTCAGATGTATTTATGCTTTAGATCAGAGCATGTCCAGGAAAAAAAAATCATTATTTTTTTCATATTGGGCCAGCACTCAAGGGTTTTAGAACATAAATCTGAAAGTGATTCTGTGACATGTTGTGTACAGATTACAGTACAGACGGTTTTGGGTCTCATGTAAAAGTTTAAAACTACATACATTTATGTGCAATTACGATGATTAAATTATTATTCCATTACAGGAATATGCCCTTGGTGGTGATGGCACATCAGGATCCAGGATGATGGACCAAAGGTAACTGATTCCAAGTGATAAGTGTGAATACTGCATTGTATTTGAAGGAAATTGTCATGTGCTCACAGGAATGTAAATATCCAGGTGAACTGGGTCTTGTATATGCGTGTCTGTGTAGGTGTTACTGTAAAAGTTGGTGATAGGTGGTACTGTGTTCATTCAGTAAATTAAATTACTGACTTTGCTGCCACAAGCTGTAAAATAAAGGATGAGAGATGAATGAAGGAATTGTCTAGTGTAAGTTCTGAGAGAATAAACAAAAGTTCTGGTAAGATTGCACTGATCTAGGTAACACTGGTAACTGCTGTCTGTTGAGATTGGGGGATGTTTTTAAAAATGTTTTTTGACACTCTTCAGCTAACAGTTGTCTATCAGTAAATGGTTTCATGATCATTGTAATTTCCTCTTACAAAAATAACCTAGCTTTTCTTGTTAGCTTTTAATATAGAATTTTCAGGGAATTGCTAGCAGTTGTGAAAGTATTAGGAGGAAGAATGCATAGAAGTAGAACTACAGTGTTCTGCATTGTCTTTTAGACCACTTTACTATTGTATGTGAAAGCAGCAGTGAAGTATAGTCTTTTAATATTTGGGATTCTGTGTGAATCAATGAAATATTAATATTGTATTTACGGTCATTTATTATTTCCCATTATATGTTCTATTTCTGTTATGTAGCACCCTTGCTGTTAATGATCGTTATTTAAAAGTAGTGATTAAATTTGTTCATTTGATTCTGGGGAATGTTGAGCTTGGAACTCAAGAAAAGTGTCTGCTCTGTTCTGGCCTCTAGATTAAGAATTCTTTAAAACTACTTAATTATCAGAGCATTTCAGCATTTATGAAACTCATTCTTAGAGTGTTTTTCATCTTCTTAGCTTGTCAGCTCTAATCACAGAGTATGGAAAACAGGTGGAGGAAATGAGAGAACAGCTGCAGCTTTATCAGGTATGGGCATTCCCTACATTTCAGACTGGATTTTCTTTTAGGGGTGTGAATATGTAGGGCACTAGTTTTTGTCATGCTTCACAAAGCTGCTGGACTTCAGGCTGCCTCAAGGGGATGAATGGAGAGCTTCTGTGAAAAGGTTGGGAGATTGTCCAAATTGCAGCAGTGTAATCCTGGGGGTTGAGGTGGAAGGGTTCCACTTCCTTTCACATGACTGGAAACATAAATGATGTTAAAACTTGTGGAATACAGAAAGCAATTTTTGCTTGTGATCTTCATGCAGAAGTTATACAGTGCTTTTGGTTTAATGCACTTAAATTGGTTTGATCTGTCCATCATAAAGATTTTGCAAATAGTCTTGCAGCTTGATCAATTTCAAGAGGCAACAGAAGCACTATGGCTTCCTTGCACTAGTAAACAAAACAGCCAGTTTGGTTCATATAACTGGGGTTTCTCCTCAGTTAATTGCTAAACTTTCATCAAATACTTGCAGCATAAAAGATGAGTTATCCACTCTATCCCTAAAAATGTGAGTTAATTAAAAATCAATCTGTAAGAGCCATAGGAATTTCAAAAGGTTAAGTTTAATGTCCGTAATAACTTCCAAATGCTGAGGTGTAACAGGACTTGGCAGCCATTAAATTCAAGTGGCATCCTGTGACTTGCCTTAAAAAAAGCAATTGACTTTCATTTACTGTATTATGCTGGATTCAATTGTCCTTCTTTTACAGTGTCAGTCAGAAATACAGGATTGACAGTGTTACCAGAGTTTATGGAACTTAAATGAGTGCTAACTCCTGCATGTCTTTCTGTCAGGCACAAATGGGTGAGATGAAGCTAAAATTGGAAGAAGTCACCAAGGAAAATGAAAGGTACATAACTGCACTGCCATGTTGCTACTACTGCTTCTCATGATTTCTTAAACATTAAAAAGCTTTTTTTTCCTAGGACCTTGAAATCTTCTACTAAGTAAACTCAGGATCCTAATGTTAGAGTCTTGAAGTGCTTAATACAGATTACAGCAC